GTATAACTCTGTGACTCCATGAGACCTAACCCAGCAAGTACATTGTTGAGGCAAGGCAAAGTAAGTGCAAAGGATTTAAAAAAGCAAATTGTTTTGGTACTGGTACTGGAGACGAACGGTTCAACAGCTGTGAAATGTTTATCAGATCTATGTGACATGAACCTTGCTAAAATCAGCCAAGACTGTGAAGTTTAACTAAGCAAAAATAAACACACAGAGAACATGATGGGATTGCACTAACAGAGATTAACTGGGGAGAGGGCAGTTAAAAATAAAACAGACTGAAAAATTATAGTCAAGATCATTTCAAAGGCAGGCATCAGTCAAGGGTAAGTGTCGAATTTGAAAGATGGGAGCTGCACGCTTATATAAGCAAGATCAATCCTTGTGGACTGTTTTTCTATTTCTAAATAAAACCAAATCTCATGTACGAAGTCCCGAGAGTTAGAGGCTCCTTTCATGTCTGTACTGGATCCACAATAAGTGACACAACCTTGAACCCCAGAGATCAACATCACAGCCAGGCTTAGATTTGGATGTTGATTAAGAGGCTCCAAGCCAGACAAACATCAGTAATCGTTCTCTCTAAAAGGGAAGGAAAGTGTAACGGAAGCACTTTCTATAATGCTCACTCCATCTTATTCTGACAAAAGTAGGTGTCATGTAGAAACTATGTTGAATTTTGCCATTATTTTCAACCAAACAGAGACTGACATTTCACATCTCTATGTCCCCATCAGTCATCTTGATGAAACATGCTCATTGACATGTTATCAAGTGTTGAATGCAGTCTTTGTCAGGTTTTGAAACTGAGCCCACACAAGTTAGTTATGGCCTCCCATCACCTCCTGATCAAGTTTCAAGCCTTTCAACAGCCCTTATCATACTCAAAAGTGACATGCGCTTTGACCATGACTGTGGTAAATAATTCTTCCTTATCCCTTCAATGATACATTTGGTCTCTCACACTAGCATACGTTGTCTTCTCCGTCCCCTCTCATACTTGATGTCCAATCTTTGCTTTCTTCTTACACGTGGAATGTCTTGTTGTCCTGTAAATCAAAAGTGCGATGGAAATATATTCTATCTGATTCCCCTTCAGACTTTCTCTGTGGTGTAGTTGAGGATATTGCTTAATCTTTTGCCTTTAAGTCATTGAGTTGTCCGTTCTCTTTCATTCAATCTCCTCTGTATCAAATTACCTTCTCAATTCCCCTTTCTAATTCTACTTTATATTCATCAGAACTTTTAGAACCTTAATGTACAGCCTCATTTTCTTAAAATTAAAGCATTTCTGATTGACCTCACATTTGAAAACCTATCTCTTTCAATTCTGCAAAGACAAGGTTCTTCTGAATAAAAACCGAAAGAATTGCGGATGTTGTAAACCAGGAACAAAAACAGAAGTTGCTGGAAAAGCTCAGCAGCTCTGCCAGTATCTGTGAAGAAAAAAATCAGAGTTAATGTTTCAGGTGTGTGTGTGTGTGTGTGTGTGTGTGTGTGTGTGTGTGTAAGACAAGGTTCTTCTGCATTGGTTGCAAGGCTAACAAGGTACCTCTTTCCTTTCCTAATGCTACTCTTGTACCTTCTTATTCTATCAACATCCTCTTATCAACAACTCAATCTCATTAACTCCTTCCCTGAGATAAAATTTTCCATGTCCCTGCCACTGCTAGATCTGCCACCAAACTTAGGTTTTCTCATGAAGAAAAGAAACTTGTTCTTTTTCCTTGAAAGATACCTATATTTCAAGACTGTCCAAGATTTGCATGGTGTTTTTATGAATGATTGACTATCTGTTGCTACAGTCCTAGATATAATACAAAATAAAGTTGCCATTGAGATGATCTTCTCCAACTCCAACTTATCACCATCCATCTCAACCATTTATCATAAGGACAGGAGTAGGCCATTTTGCCCATGAAGGCTATTCCATCTTTTAATGAGATCATTGTGCATCATTGCATCAAATCTATTGATGTACATACTTTTCTTCATAACCTTAATATCATTACTTCATACAAATTCCTGATCTCAGTCTTGGGAAATTTCATTTGGCTCATCAATCACAGCCTTTTGGAGAGAATTTCAGATTTCCACAACCTCTGTTATGTCAAAGCGTGCTTTTTACTCTTAATTTTTATGATTGATCCCCATTTATTCTGGGCACACTCACCAGAGGAAGTGGATTTTCATTTGCTTACTTGATAAAAGCTTCTCATAATTTTATAAATCTGAATTAACATCTCCCTGCCTTCAGATTTCTGAAAATATGGGAGTGCAACCCAATGTTTATGCAAGCTCATAATTTCATTTGTAAAGCCCTGTGAAGACTTTCATGAAATTTTGCAACTTACTCTCAGAGAACAGTACGTATTTCATGGGGTGAAATGTACTTCATCATACAGTTTCTTGACTCATTCATCAAATGCTCAAAACTAGCTGTGGAACCCACCACCTCTTTTAGTCTTTTCTCCTTTTTCAATCTTGAGCTTTGAGAAGCTTGTTTCATCCCAGTTTATCTTTCACTGTTCTTAAACTTGGCTGGTACTTCATTCGATTCAACCTGGAAGAATATCTACTTCTTATGTTTTGTCTAAAAATAAGTGATAGGTCTATAATAAAATTTAATATTAAATGCTGGAGAAACTTAACCAGTCTGGCAGCATCTGTGAAGAGAGAAACAAAGTTAACATTTCGAGTCTGGTCTGACTCTTCTTTGGAAATGATATGTCTATCCATTTTTGTGTAGAAAACTACCTCCCTCATTAAGATATTCCTTCGCCTTTCAATAGTTCTATACATTAAACTTTCTAAGGCACATCTTTATCATGAAATATATTCTAGGGTTCTCCTGCAAAATTGAAATTTGTTGCAGCATTATAGACACTTTATATTTAATATTGTTTAGAGGACTCTGAAAGATTGCATTAAAAAAGGAATTTATTTTAAGTTGTGTGGACATACCTGAAGTGGTTTCTTTAAAAGAGGTCATTGAAAGTTCATTCATGACATTAAAGAATTTTTCAGACAAGGCTTTGTAGAAATTAAACGGCTGGCAGTAGCTGCGTTCTTTTCCATAGAACTTGCCCGGTTGCTTTTGAATACTAATTGGCTTGGTGAGGTTCTTGTTTTATCTGGTATGGTTGGAGGAAAGCCCACTAAGAACAAGCTGAGTTAGAGAGAAGCCAGTTAAGAACAAGCTGATTTAGAGAGAAGCTGAGTTGGTTGAAAGCTTAAGATGAACAAGTTGCCCAGCTCATTATCTCCCATCTCTTCAAAGAAACCCTTTATGTCAGTTCAGGGTGAAACCTATTTGCTTTTTTGAAAAAGTGATTAAAATGATATTTCGAGATTGTATTTCCTGAGCAAGCTGTGCCTGCAAGACTTCAGAGACAATGGTACATCATTAGCAAGAATCAGAACATCAGTGCAACAGATTTTAAAGCATCCTTTACTTTATCATATTGCCTTCAAGAATTACCCATTGTGGCCAAAGTGATTTTTTTTTGCAGAAAGATGATCTCTGCAGAGAATTTCCTTTTACCTATTTTCCGGAAGAGCATATTTATAGGGATAAGTATTTATAGTTCTGACTGAGTATGTTAACTAATTATTGCATCTTCAATGAATGAGTTTTTCTTTGATATTGTATCAATTATTATGTTTATTGTCTTTTGTTTTAAATTGGATATGGTCATTTGGTAACTAGAAAAGTTTTTATGTGATAGTAGACTGCAGATGCTGGAGAATCTGAGATAACAAGGTGTAGAGCTGGATGAACACAGCAGGCCTGCTGTGTTCATCCAGCTCTACGCCTGTTATCTAAGTTTTTATGTGATGTTGTTTAGAGGGACAGTTTGCTTCTCCAGCCTTGGTTGCAACAGTAGGTAACACAGAATGTATTCAGAGGATGAAACTGAGGGAAAGAAACATGAAAACATAAAGCCAAACCAGGAGATAAGCTGACATCAATGTGCAGTTATAATTCTAGAAATGTCATTTTCTTCTGCTAACACATTCAATGCTGATGAAACATTCTACACCCCTGAAATATCAGTTGTTGGGTCATTATGTGCAAGTATACTTCAAAAGCCCCTATATGTCACTGAGTGAAAATCTTCAAACTCCCTCCCTAGCAGCATTGTAGATCTAGCTATGCAAATTGGATTGTAGCAGCTCAAGATGGCAGCTCATCACCACCTTCTCAAGGGCATCTAGGGACGGGCAATACTTGTTGGCCCAGGCAGCGATACCCCAGATACCATGAATGAATGGGAAAAGAAATAGGGCATGCTTGTATAAATATATCACCTCTGGGACCTACGTAAAGCAACACAAAGAAAATGAACACATAATGAAGCAGAAATGCATTCCTCATACCCGTTTCATAGACTAAAACAATTCATGAGAATCGTTTATTAATTTAAGCTTTTTTTTTCCAGATATTACAGGAGGCAGGCAAAGAGACAACTTGCATTTAAATAATGCTTTAAACTAGCAAACCATCCCAGTTAGTATTACTAGTCAAACTGTGAGAGTAAACTATGTGAGGAGATATTAGATCAGGCAGCCCAAAAGCTTGGTCAAAGATGAAGATATCAAAAAGTCTTAGAAAGAGAGGCACCTCACAGAAAGGGGGATGGGGTTAAGGATGAGATTTCAAGGTTTAATGAAAACTGAAAGAACTGCGGATGCTATAAATCAGAAACAAAAACAGAAGTTGCTGGAAAAGCTCAGCAGGTCTGGCAGGATCCGTGAAAAGAAATCAGAGTTAACGTTTCAGGTCTGGATCCTGAGGAAGGGTCACTGGACCTGAAATGTTAACTCTGATTTCTTTCCAAGGTTCATTGTTCAGGCAGCTGAAAGTAAGGCCACCAAGGTTACTAGTAGATGTAAAACTGGTGGTACACTGTGTTCAGCTTAGTGATTGCAGAAAGTTGTACGTCAGTTTGTGAAATGTGGATTCAACTTGCATTTTTCCAATGTCCCCTTTGCAGGTTCATATCATGGTACACCAGAACAGCGTCAAACTGATTGTGGACTGTGAAGAGATTGAAGAGAAGATGGCAAATCCTCCTGGTAACATTACCACCAATGGATACGAAATTCTTGGAAAGCTGGCTAAAACTAGAGGACCAAAGGGCAGATCTGCTCCAGTAAGTCATGACAATTTCATAAGTTTAAGGCGCGAATATTTTAAATACATTTTTGTCTCCCTTGCAGATTTTTGATTGGTTAGGACATTTGATACCCAACTAGTTGACACGAGTATATGCCAAGCTGTTGGCTGACATCAACATTAATTAACTATTTCTTCTGAATAGTACGTTCATATCACATAATCAAGAAACTGAAATAACTTTCGACGTGAGATTATTTTAGCTCTTTCTCAAAAGCTTCAGTGTTAAACACCCAATCAGAGGTTTTACCAGAATTGATCAGCTATGGGTCAATACCATTGTTAACCACCAGTGATCATACATGCCCTTAATGCTTTTATTTTTAGAAGCAACAATCCTGGAATTTTCAGTTCAGCCCTTCTCCATTGTGTAACTTCTCTGTTCCAACAACTCAACAGTATGGCAAAGTTGAAATCAAGAACTGATTGTGGGAGGAGAATTTTTCTAGCTTAAAATGTGTTAGTGAGCAAACACAACTATATTGTAAACATAGCAATTTTGTGACTTTTTTCCAACATAACCATCAGAAAAACAAATTTCTTCAGTGTGTAAATGATGGTGCAGGAACATGTTTGTACCCTTGTGTGAAATCAAAGATCTGAAGACATCTATCATTGATCCCTTTTTGGAACTGTGGGTGAAGAGAAAAAACGCTATTTGTCCTCCAATCTCTGGCACCATAGGTACAGAGGAATGTATTCCCATTTTGTGGGATAGTGTTTTACATTGCTGAATTTGATTCAGAAGTAAGGCATGATGCATTATTGTAGGCATGTTCAATGACGCAGCCACTGTTCTGTACTCCATTCAAAGATGTAACTTTGTGAATAGACTGAGCAGAATTTTCAGGCTAGGAGTATCAGGTTGGAGATGGCTGAGGAAGTGAGTGAAACTTCTATCTTGGAGCAGAATGGGTGCTCACATGCAATCTGATGATCCTTAGCCCAATATACTAACACACACTTGAGGATCCTGGAATCTTTCAATGGGACAGGCAGCAAGTCGACAGCCTATTCTTACTTCATGGGATAACTGGGCACCCAGACAAGGCAAGCTGGCAGCAAAGAGAAAATGTGACCCCATTGCTTTTTGTGTCAGTTCTCCTCCTTTCCCACCAGACCCTCCTTCCCTGTGCTACTTTGCTCCACTTGGGGAAACGAACACCGCAGCCCAACCATTCACATACTTTACCAGTGTATCTCTTGCTCTGAACTTACCCCAAGGTCTAGGAAGAAGGCAGCCTTGCCAGATGCATGCAGCTGGGTCTCCGAATGCAATCAGAGTGAACTGCATCGGGAAGGGGCACCTGATTCTGGCGAATTCAGCTTTTGATGAGTTGCAAATGTGTGCAGATAGGCTTCCCAGAACATTCCCAACCTTTCAAGGCCAAAGAACTCATTGCAAATGTTTACCTGGCTGGCAGGTTTCCAATGTTTTCATCGAATTCAGATCACCTGCCCACCTTTTATCTCACCTCTTCTGGGCCAGAAGATTCTGCCTCAGTGAGTAGCTTGTGTCAAACTCCAGTATTTAAGGTACACCTTCCCATGGGTTTGAATGAGAGGAGAACACAAAACAAGGGTAACATCATTGCAGTCCAACAATAATAATAAATTACTTTCCTATCCATGAACCACTTATTCAACAGAAACATTAAGTGAAACATTTTGTTGAATATTAATTGCTTTAAAGGGCCATTCTCAATTGTTAGAATATCTGGAGAATTTAAGAGGAGGATCAGAAAATTTTGGTAGCACATGGCATATCCCAAAGTTGAGTTGATGCTATAGACATATAGGCTATTTTTAAGCACAGAACTGGAACGACTGTGAGGCCCAAACGGGACTAGATACAATGGAGCAAGAAGGGTAGAGTGATAGTTGCACTGACTACCGTTGTAGCAGTGAAAAACAAAAGAATAGCAAGAGGTGAAAATCATTGGGCACATAGACCAATCAGGCAGTGAGAAAGCATTAGGCAAAACAAAAACATTGAAGGCAGAAGGGAATAAAAAGCAAAGTACTACTGATGTTGGAAGTCTGTAACGCACCAGAAGATGCTATAAGCACTCCACAGTTCCAACAGTACCTTACAGACAGAGAGAGAGAACCAAAGGGTGTAGCTTTGCAAGTTGATGAATATTTCATTAGAAAGGAATAAACAGAGCACATTGGTTTGAGTGAAGAGACATTGGAAAGACCAAGGGGCATTCAGGCTAATTACGATAATATGTATTCATTTGCTTCAATGTATTCTTTTCTCTCTTTTGATTATAGTTCGAAATTCAAAGCTTCGACATCATCTGCAGCCTGGGTTGGGTTATAAGAGACAAATGCTGCGATCTTCCTTCCACGGCAAGTATCCACCTGTCAGTATGTGACATATGCCAGAGTTTTGGCTTGCCTGTCTGTGTTTTCCTTGGATTGTCAGAGGCGTCTGCTTTTCCTTAACTGAGGAGGTATTTCTGTTGCAAGAAAGTGTAGGGAAAGTAAACAATGCTGTGTTTTTGAAATAACTGTGCAGTCCTGTCACCAAGACACCCTTTATGTACATGTGCACAGTACATGGGCTCTGACCAGCCAGTTCAGAGCCAGCCCCTAGGATTCGGAGACTTTCTGAATCTCCTGTGTATATCTGTCAGCCAAGGCTCCCTGATTGGCCCACATTAACAACCCCAATCAAGGGTGGCATTGTTAATGAGATCTACCTGGCCCTTTTTCCAATCACTGCAGTTTTCTTTTGGAATGCACTCATTAATTGGAGGAGGGAACAAAGGGTGCTTTACCAACACCAAATATCAGCCCAATTGGATAACATCAAGTCTCCCAAACTTAAATAGGCAGGCCATTTCCCCAGGAGATGGACCACTGTTGGCAGGGTGACATGGGCGAGTCTGAGTCTGAGTTTGAGTGGTGACACCTCCAGGATAGCATCCAGCTGGAATTGGCAAAACTGCGTCCACCACACACTTTAGTCATTGACATTTTATTAGCATTACAGGAAAGGTAGGGTTGATTGTTCGCATTCAGTTGGTACCATAAAGGTACTTTATTTTCACTTGCTATTCTTCACTCAGAAAACGTAGTCTCAAAATAACCGAGGTGGTGGAATGCTTCAAACAATTAATTTGTGAACACAAGATTCATTTTACTTTATCACCGGAAATGGGTGATCATGAACATTTCCGGATTGGTGCAAAAATCCTCATACCTTTGGGGCAAGTAAATTTCAAGGACATTTCCATCTACCTCTCTGGTTTGTATTCTACCACTCTGAAATTTGTTCTGGGTAACAAAGCAGTAAATGGACACGTTTGTATATTTTCCAAAATTCTGAGAATAAAAGTGAAATTGCACCATGTTTTGGTTTTTAGAGATGGCAGGTTTTAACATCCTGGTGTTCCGGGAAAGAATCAGTTGGGGGTAGAGAAACAGATGGATTATACATTTCCGTGGAATGGCAACAATCACCAAATGGTGTTTCTTAGTCATGTTTTATTTATAGCCACAGGATCCATGCCAAGCATTGACCCTGATATTTGACAAAAAACTGTCTTTGTTACTGCTGTTAGGAATCCTTAACTTCCCCACAAAGGCCCATGCAATGAAGAATAACAATACCAAGCACCAGTTAAATTTGAATAAACGCCAAAGTAGACCTCCACATAAGAAGTATAGATGCCTTTGCTTTGTTTAATTTTTTTTAAAAATGCTGTCTAGTTTGCTTCATAGCTTTTCACATCATTGGCCATACAAAGCAATTGATTTTGTTTTGGGGATAGTGGGTTATGGTTTTCTTTCTATCATGACTTATTTCATTATCTGACAAAATCGTGCGGTTTCTGTAATTTCAGAGAGATGAAGCAAAGTGTCCAGCGCTTCCACATGCCTGCACATGCGCTCAGGACAGTATTGGGCCCCCAGGACCTCCTGGACCTTCTGTAAGGAAATACTTCATTCGTTTTCATTTCCTGGGTTAGAAAGCAGTTCACATAATCTATCAAGCTAACGGAAAAGACAGACAGAGAAAGAGAGAGATACAGAATAAAACATTGTGGCAAGGGGACAATCATTGCATTCTGCATCAGTGCTGATGGTGCTTGAAATGCTAGCAGAAATCTCTCAATCTTGGAGAGAGAGAGAGAGAGAAATACGTAGTGAATGTAACTTAAATTGAAAGTAAAATGAAAGCGTTCTGTTCAACAATTATGAATTACCTAATGTAGAAATGAGGAAATATGCTGAGCCAGGACTTTTTAATGCATGAATGTGTATAATTTACTAATTGTGTCCATGTGTAATGAAACTCACTCAGCCACCTAACATATCCAAACAAGACAATCTCAGACGTTTCCTTCTCAGCTTGATTATCCTGTGAGCCTGGGGCTGGGGACGGGTGGGGGGAGCAGTGGTGTTGGTGTTCAGCGGTGAAGGGAATCCATGTGTTTTGAACGCAGGCTGTGCTTATTTTGCTTTCTCTGTGATTTTTTTCCATTAACAGGGTCAAAGTGGCAGCAAAGGTCCGAGAGGAGAAAGAGGCCAACAAGGGTCACCTGTGAGTATCTTACTTTCTGTCTTGTGATCCTGGCATTCAGGCCTCGTGCTGTCAGCAAAACTGTCGTATAATCTCTGCGAGTGCAAATGGGGTTGGGGGGCGGTGCGGGGGGCATCTCAATCCAGCTCAATTTCATCCTTAACTGAAACTGTACGTATTACTTTCCATCATGGACCAACAGATAGCAATCACGAGTGGGATCTCTGGTTAATGCCTCCCTTCCCGACACCCTTGGGACATAGAGTCATAAAATTTTACAGCACAGATCAAGGCCCTTCAGCCCATTGTATCTGTGCTGGTCATCAAGCATTTATTTATTCTAATTCCATTGTCCAGCACTTGGCCCGTAGCCTTGTGTGCTGTGGCATTTCAAGTGCTCATATAAATAATTCTTAAATGCCTTTAAGGTTCATGGCTCTACCACTCTTTCAGACAGTGAGTTCCAGATATACACCTCACTTTGGCTTAAAAAAAATGGTTTCCTCATATCCCCTCTAAACCTTACCTGAAGACTGTGACCTCTGGTTATTGACACCTCTACTAAGGGGAATCGTCTTCCACCTGAGCTATTGTTAAATAAGTATCAGTCTCGTAGAGTTGGAGATTTAAACTCACTTCAGGAACATGGACTCATAATCCAAACTGATACTGATGCAGTACTGAGGGAGTGTTCTAGGAGTCAAATACCAGACGAGAAATTAAGCTGAGGCCAAGTCTACTAAGTTTGCAGATGGACCACAACATCTCATAGCAGTATTCAATCAATCAGCATCACTAAGGATTACAGGGACATTGTTTCATTGATTTCTTTTAGGCTTTGCTGTGTGCAAGTGGTTGCAGCATTTACCACCTTATAACAGGTCAGTTAGCAGGGACGGGAGATTGAACCTGTACTGTGTGGTTCAATCACATGCTGATTGATGTAATTACTAACAGAGCCTTCAGGATGTGTAAGTCAATATTCGGGTAAAATTTATGCATATTTGGTTTGGAGCAATGTCCAGATTTACATGATGGCTGCAGATGACTGCAATAACAGCTACGTATTGTTTCTTGTTTGTCATGCAGAAAGTGAAAAGAAAAACCTTTTATTTGCTGTTTTACAGGGTGCAGCAGGCCCTCGTGGTGATCTAGGACCTCCAGGTCCACAAGGCCTCCCCGGCCCTCAGGGTGCTAATGGGCTATCACTTCCAGGAGAACCAGTGAGTCTAACTGTTTTGTTTCCTGTCCCCCTGTCCTGCCCTCCCTCCCCCATCTTTGTTACAGTATACGGTTGAAAACAATTCAGAATTATCACACATTAATCAGAAAGCTGTCAATCTTGAAGAGAGAGAGAGAGAAAAATATGTAGTGAACGTGACTCAAATTACAGCGCAAATGTTGTAATCCAGTTTGCTTTACTTCACTTCAAGAATGAAAACAGGACCAATCCCAGAATAGTATTACAATTCTCGTGTTGTCCTTCAATGTAATGTATATAGTATAGAATATATATTTGATTCTTCCCTCTCCTTTCAAACTGTTGGCTTTATAACAGATAAAAATGTTGTTTAAAAAGAAAAGACATAATTAGACACAAAGGTATTTTTATTAGCAGCTGAATTTTTCAGATTTCGGCTAATCTCGGTGAATTCAAACAGGATACATTTGCCTTGGACCAGTTAGCATTCAATAAGTGTCAACTCCCAAACTCGTGGTTGATTTGTCAAGATGAAAACATGTTTCATAAAAGTGTTCCCCCAACATTTCCAATTTTAATATAACATAAGGATCAGAATTTCAAACATGAGCTAAAAAGGAATCTGGAGTGTTTGTTTAGGACTTATCTTCGCCCGTGTATAAAACTTGCTCCTTGGTTTGGTATTGCTAGCATTTACTGCCGATCTTTCAATGCTCTTGAGAAGCAGGTGATGAGCCTTCTTCTTGAACTGTTGAGGTGCATGACGTGAAGATATTTCCATAATGCTGCTAGGCAAGGAGTTCCAGGATTTTGACTCAGCAATGATGATAGAATTAGGATGAATTCCCAGCTCACCAGATTATGTGACGAGGATGAAGATTACCCCCGAATGGTTGGTTACCTTTTGTAAGTTAATATGTTGTAGGTCAGGGATTTGGGAGGTCCCGCACATGAAACAAAGTCCCAAAGCTTCTGATATGTGTTGAAGCCTCTAAGTGAGCTTTCACTGGTGATGGGCTTTGGTATTTATATGAGAAACTTCAACTTCTGATTTCACTCAGCCCAATTCTGATGATTAGTAGGATTGGATGGCCAGGATTATGGAGTCTTTGCCGTTTGCCCTATATTCAGCTTGGTTTTTTACACAATTTACTTAGAGCTATCCATAGTAGGCGTTTAACCAGCAAAACATGAAGTAAGTCAAGTGGAATGTCAAAGTATTTCACACACACACACACACACACACACACCGCTCCCACTCCAGCAATATTTTCTGCCTCTTTGGACGGTACTTATTCCCTGATCCCGTCCTGCACCTCTTCCACCGATTCACTTTCCAGAATTTCTGGCTACTGTCTGGCCAATTTCAGAAGAGTCAGCAAAGTAGGGAAAGCTGTTTTGGAAGAGGGCACTTGAAAATACTTGTATTTACGTGCAGTGGGGAGATGAGAGAGAATGGTGAAAATTCTTAGACAGTGCTAAATATTGACAGGGTGGGAGAAAGGGTGTCAAATACTGAATACTGGTGGGGTGAGAGGGGAAGGTGACCATTCTCAGGAGGTGACTATTGACCGGAAGATCTGGGTCTCTATTTCTTGTATTCTTCCCTTGAGTGCTAATTGGTTAGTCTGCTTCATCAGTGAAGAATCTCTTCAACAAAGGATATGTTGTTGTGAAGTCCTGACTTCTGTTGGGAGTAGGATTACATTTCCAGGCATCCGCATCCTCTGCACTGCTTTGCTGTTTAGGAGTTTTCAAAGCATTCCATAGATTAGGTCTGCTTTTCTCAAACAGGACATGCTATCAGCTATCATCTATAACAGATGTGCTTTTTACATTCCCAGTGTTGTGACATTTAAGATAGAAGAAATTTGACAGTTGGATAATCTACAGTATCAACGCTAATTTTTCACACTCTGAGAAAAATTACATTAAAGCACAATGTTAACATTTTGGGAAATGCTTATTGTTTAATGAATCAAAATGTGATAGTATACAGCATTATCTGAAGCTTGTGTAAAATTAAGATTAGTTTAATAAATTTCTCAATAGCTTCATTTCTCTTTTGACATAGCAGTGACCAAAAGGCAACTGAACTTCCAAACATATGAACTAGGAACAAGACTAACCCATTCAGCCCTTTGAGCCTGCTGTGCCATTGTAGAAGCATAGGAACAGAAGTAGGCCATTTAGCCCCTCAAACCTGTTTGGCCATTCAATGAGATCATGGCCGATCTGTGACCTAACTCCATATACCTGTTTTTGGCCCATACCCCTTAATACCTTGGCTCAACAAAAAAAACTATCGCAGATTTAAACTTAACTATTGATCCAGCATCTTCCACCACTTATGGAAGAGAGCTCCAAATCTACCACCCTTTGTGCATAGAAGCACTTCCTAACATGTCTCCGATTGGACAGGCCCTAATTCTCAGTCAATGCCCCTAGTTCTATAATCCGCAACCAGTTAGTTAGTTCTCAAGCTTGCTCTACCATTCAATAAGATCAGGGCTGATCTGATTTTAACCTCAATCTATATTCCTACATATCCCCGTTGATCTTTCATCCCCTCGGTAATCAAGAATCAATCCACCTTTGCCTTTAAAAATGTTTAAAGATTCTTTTGAGGAGGGGGATTCCAAAGACTCACAACTCTCTGATTTGGTCAGTCAGTTTCCTTCTTTGATAAATCATTTCACTAGTTTACCATCCAGTGATAGTCACTTAGATCTTGGTTAGCATTGTCAAATTGTTCACAACTTGAGATTGGCTGCCTCTCAAAGTGAAAAATAAGTACAAGTAACTACCTTCAAGATGTTTCTTGCCAACTCTGCCAGGCTATCGGTGCTGTCCACTGTCACAAAGTTTCACACATGATGGAGGATGAGAGATATCTGACGTCCAAACTAGTTCACTCAAAGCAGACTACAGCACTTTGATTGAAGAGGAGATATTAGGAGCATTTCAATGTCAATGGACATTTTTCAGCAACAAATAGATTTGCTGTGCTTTTTGAGCAACTTGACGAATGATCATATGATTGAGATTGCACGTATAAAGATGCACATTCAAAAGAAAAATAGGTTCAGGTCTTTGACCAGCAAGGAAATGCTTTGTCCATGAGCAAGATGTCAGAGAAGAGATAATGGAAAGACCTCTATAATTCCCTTTGTTTTCAAGCACCCTGTTAGACATTTCTCCAGATGTAATTTTTCTCTGAACAACCAAAGTCATTGTAACAAAGGCCTCCATCAGTCAAAGCACTGAATGACACTGTGCAGTTATTCAACAAATAAGTTTCAAAATCAAGATTGATTTTGTGAAGGATGTTGCACCAGTTTATGGTAAATGTGCTCATGACTGCAAACAAAAAATGCTTTTAGAAATGTGTGAGGCAGAATGTGGTACAGCTATTGACTTTTCTATTCCTCAGTTCCAATTAATCTCTCAACAATCTGCTACTTTATCCATGGCACTACTCCATTAGCATCAAGTCTTGAGTAAGACAAGATCTATTGGCACTGAAATACTTGAATGTCATGGCAACATACCAGCCTCAGATGGAAAACCCTTTCCAAGTTTGTGTTACTGCAAATGTCCCAACACAATTGCCAGCTTCCGCAATCCATAGTTTAGTTAATCATTTCATGTATACTGAGGAAAGAACCTAATTGCTAGAAACTAAACCAAATATGATTAGCTTGCTTTGAAAGACGCATGTGAAAGACCTTTATACTTCTACAGTGTGAGGCTTGAGACTTTATCCTTAACTGGATCCAGGGGCTGATTGGCTTACACCTATCCCTGTAATAGAATGGTTACAGTACAGAGGAAGATCATTCAGCCTATTTTGCCTGTGCTGTTGCTGTGAAGGAGAAATTCACTGAGTGCAAAGCCCCGGTCTTTTTCCCTGCTGTCCTGCAGCTATTTTCTTTTTGGAACGTAGTCCTTTTGAAAGTGTCAGGTGACTCTGTTTCAACTCTTTTTTTGTCAGGCAGTGCATTCTGGATGCTAGCCACTCACTGTATGAAATAGTTTCTCCTCTCCCAATTGCTCCTTGAATTTGTGCTCCCTTGTTCTCAATCATTGCACCAATAGGAGCAGTTTCTCCTGACCAAGACTTTCATGATTTTGAACACGTCAATTAAATCTCCTCTCAAACTTCCCAATTTCTCCAACCTGTCAACATATCTGAACTTCCTCAATCCTGGAAACATTCTCATGAATCTTTTCTGCATCCTCTCTCCTTGCTTCACAGTGTGCCTTAACTTCTATAGCTCTATGACTCTACTGTTTTACACAGGTTTAACATAACTTCTTTGCTTTGATTGTATATCCCCACTGATAAAGCCCAGGACATTGTAAGGTTTATTCATTACCCTTTCGGTCCGTCCTCCTACCTTCAATAAGTTGTACAAATATATACTCAAGTGCCTCTGCATTAGCTCCACCTGTAGAACTTTACCTTATGTTTGACATTGTGTCTTCATGCTGTTTCTACAAAAATGAATCACTTCACATTTACTGTATTAAATTGCATCTTCCAATTCTTCAACTATGGCCATTCAACTGACATCTCTCTTTCTTTTGACAGTTTACAAAATCCTCCTGATGTTTCACATGTTTTATATCATCTGCAAATTTTGGAAGTTTGTCCTGTAGAACAGGGTATAGGTCATGAATTGACATCAGGAGGGCTAGGAGTCTTATCACTGAACCTTAGAAACTCCACTATAAACCTTCCCCTAAACCGAAACATAACCATTCACCACTATGTCTTGTTCCTGTCACTCAACCAACATTATATCCAAGTTGTTACTGTGCCTGCCTTTCTCCAGAATGTCTAACTAATCTATTGAATGCTGTTACACTTAATGGGACTTGGTTAGCTGAGTTGGCTGGCCAGCTGATTTATGAAGCAGACTGAAACCAACAGCATGGGTTCCATTCCTGCACCAACTGAGGTTACCATGAAGGTCTTGCCTTCTCAACCTCACACCTTGCCTGAGGCATGATGCCCCC